TAGTAAGAGTCTTGACCTATGTTGAGAACATTGTTTGTTAAATTCGAATTTTGCATTTGAAAGTTGGGATATTGTTTTCATTTTCATTTGGGATATTGTTTGCTAAATTGGCTTAGTATTGTATTTTTATTTTTATTGATTTTTCTTCATAATTTTTTTTTTCAATTTGACGGTTGGAGTTTGGAATTATAAAAAATAATTTATTTTCATGGTTATTAACCGAGCCAAACCGAACTGACTTACGTGGTTATGGTACGGTTATGGTATGATTAAAAATTTGGTGGTGCGGTTATGATTTTGGTCGAACCGATCCCGAACCAAACCATTACCATCCCTAGTCCATCGCTCGCCTGCTGCTGGACTCTCGCTCGAGCGACGATATTACGAAAAAAAAACCCTAATTTGTGTTTTTCGAGATTTCTGTCTATCCTTTACTACCCCAAAACCGATATAATGTAAATACCAACCCTCATTTCGTGAAAACACCGGGTTTAATATTAGTTTATCTGAGAGTGCTTTTATCACATCTTATACATTATTCAAACTCTTTTTATTCAACAAAAATCACTGGAAACATCAAATCCATATAATCAAAACACCAAAATCCAACTTCTGCATAATCGTCAGAGCACTGAAGATCAAGAAAAGTGATCAGAGTTCTGGTTGAAGGAGAACATGAGTTCTCAGGTGATCCACATATAAACGATTTCAGAAGGTTGGGAGCAGTGCAGGAGCATGCAGTCCGGAGGGCCGTGGTGATTACAGTCAGGAGGTCGGAGAGTACTAAGCTTTAGTTAGTCTGAACGGTCTGTTGACCTATGATTAACTCTACTTGTTTTGATTATAACAAACAAATGTTTCTGACATATCTAGTTTCTTGAGTTTTTCATATATAATTCTTCCTAAACACTCAAATGCACAAATCGTCATCCGTTGAAGAACAAACAATCAAAAGAGAATCGAAGAGAATAAGAATCTTGAAGCTTAGAATTAAGAAGATGTGTATCAAAACTTATGTAAAAGTATACTCATCGATTTTGGCAAATACATAAAACTCAAATAATTTCTCATTATTCATAACTTTCATAAGAAATATTTTGACATA